TGGCAACATCAGCAACCAACAACGACCTGCTCGGCTGAGAAAAACACCAGCAGTTGATGACAGACAAATCATAAAGGCTGTGAAAATGAACCTTAAAATACGTGTCTGTAAAATCATCAATAACCTCCAGAAAGCTGGGGTGATGCTCTGTCAATCTACTGTCCACAGGAGACTTCCATGCAGAATTACAGAGGCTACACAGCAAGATGCAAACCTCTGATCAGCAAGTTTGCAAAAAAGCACAAATGTGAGCCAGTAGAGATTTGGAGTTTTATGGACAGATGAGACAAATATTAGCCTTTATCTAAGTGATGGGAAAGCAAAAGTGTGGAGAAAAAGGGAACGGCAAATGATCCTAAGGCATACATCCTCATCTGTAAAGCATGGTGGAGGTTCAGCTATGCATGGGCATGAATGTTGGAATTGGCTTCATTAAAGGCAGGGAAACTCATTTCAAAGGGTGAGACTAAGAGTCTGGTGATGTCTATTGGTCGTAGACTCACTGCTGTGATTGCACACAAGGGATCTGCAACTAAATGATAGATTTTAATCTTTTACATATGCCTTAAATTCAACTGTTCCAATACTTATGCTCACATCAAATAGTGGAATGAACTCTAAAAGTGTTGTCCTTTTTATTTGGTAAAACAGCTAATAATAAAATGTGACATTCTGCAGTTTTGTCTCATATTCATATTTTAATCATATTTGCAGATGTCTTGACTACACATCAAACAAAGCAATTTTGTCATTACTGTCCCAATACTTAAGGAAGGCACTGTATATACAGTATATCAATATCTCAGTGGCGTTCTGTCCATATAAGCTGTGAATGCTCCACATACCCAGGCCATCTGAGAGAATGAGTTTGTGGGTTAATTAATATAAACATGATTATAAGTTAATCCCTTGTCATTTGAGATATAACTTAAATCTTAAACACAATCAGTTTCAGTCTTAAGTGAACATAAACAGTTAGGAAAGTAACTGAATGCTTGTCAGTGCATTAGATCTGTGCATTCAGTCATAAAGTGACAGCCTAATAAACCTGCTGTTGTCCCTGTCATTTAATGTTAATCAAACAACAAAAGAAAATTAGAAAATCATTAACTGCTCTTGACTGAATAACTTTAGTAACTTTAATAAGAATTCATATATATTCATATGGTAAAAACTATGCAGTGTTTTATTTTTAAATTTGAGTACTTTATTCAGTTTCTGTATAGTAGGCTATTATTATTTTATATCTAACTTGTTTATTTATGTATTTATTTTTTCTATTGTTTGTAATATTCTTCCTTTTTATTTCTAACTTAACTCTGACTGAATGTATCAGTTGTTGTTGACAGTGAGTTTGGGTCTAGGACCGATACTGACTGTGCTATATTGTATCGACTAAAGCCCTTTTCGGACTGCACTAGTTTTACAGGGGTGGCATTAGAGAAATTTGTGTTTCATAGAAGATCACATAAACTGTTAAGACTGGCTACAGTAATATCAGCGTCACGTAAGATTACTCACATTCATTTCTGCACTCATTTACATAATGATTTAATTATGCTACATATGTACATTTACGGAAATTATCTTAGCATGTTTGTTTAATGCCCAGATGTACAAAACAGACCCTCCCATCTCTGTAATAAACACAGAGATGTTATTCTCATCCGATTCGGTACATGGAATCACAGACGTCGGGTGATAAGACCTGTAACTCAAAAAATGTTTAGAAAATTAGTCCCCTCCGAATAGGGCTAAAGTCCCTACATATACCACCAAAATGACAGTCTGTAAAAATGGCCAGACCTCAGCTCATCAATACTGGTTCCTCAAAGAAACAGTAAACATATCATGCCAAACAGCCATCTTGCATGTCATCTTCTTTCCTATTTCTCCTCTTCCTTCATCTTCTTTGTTAAAGCAAATGCTATTTTTTCATCCCTTGTGATGCGTACATGTAGCCCACACTGGTGTGAAAGACACCAGTTAATATGGCATCTGATTGCATTCCAGCAAGCTTTACATGAAAGCCGAGGAAACAGATCTTGTGTGCCTTTCACGGAGACTAATTCTGCTCTGATGTGACCATTATGCTGTGAGCGGCCTAATGTACTCATGTAGTGTAGTCCTTCAAACAGTATGACAAATTTATGTCTGGCTGCAAGAATGCATTTGAATATAAGTGTATTTGAGTTTTGATTTAAGATATATGTACACATTTTTATGAGTATATATCTTGCCGACACCATGCTGATATACTGTATGAATGTAAGAAGAAAGAACCTCATTCTGCATCCATTTACTGCAGTATTCATGTCAGCATGGTTAATATCCCTCCTAAGTTTTTCTTTGAACTAAATGATCCTAAATTTCAGTGGCTTACAGAGTTCATCCAATTGTTTTGTAAGAATATCTCACTGTTTGTGGAGAATCAAATGGCTATTGATCTCATGACCCGAGAGAGAGAGAGAGAGAGAGAGAGAGAGAGAGAGAGAGAGAGAGATGTTTTTCAGTCTTTGCAACTCTACTGTAGATTCTACTTTAATAAAGTACCAGAGATGCCTGCTGGAGTCATGTTGAATCATTCACCTTATTTTGAGAGCACCTACTGTTGTCAAAGTAAGTCTACCTACTGGAGATACACTATATAGAAAGTATTTGGATACCTGACTATTAGACAAACAATAGACCAACAGGGACATTGTATTCTAAATACAAAGTTATTAAACTGCAGCTAGACCCCCTTTGCAGCTATACCAGTCTCCACTCTTCTGGGAAAGCTTTCCACAAGATTTTGGAGAGTATCTGTGGGCATTTATGCCTGTTCATCTAGTTAAGCAATGGTTTTCAAACTTTTTATTAAGAGCGACCCTTTTTTCTTCTTTTTAAATTGATGCGACATAAATTTCCGCGACCCTGAAACTTTGCAGTGTGTACACCATGTTGCTCCTTTTAGCAGCATGAAAAAAACTAAAACAACAACTTTTATTCAGATTCTGAATGGATTAGATATTCAAGAAAGCATGCACAGAACACCCTTTTTTTAATAATCACTAAAAAGTTATCACTCATTTCAGTTTATCGCAATCTCACAAAGTTATTTTATAATCAATGGAGCTTTCTACATTGCACAATGAATGTAATTAATTTTATTTACTTTGTTTATACACTTTGTTATAATGACAGGATTTACAAGCTTATGTAACTTATCTCTGAATGAAAACTCCAGCGCTTTGAATGGTAAGTGGATTCTAACTTAAACACACCTGATTGGCCATTGTGTTCAAGAAATCAACAGCCATGTCTGTGATTAGCCAAATTATTCAACGCTGCAATAACACGTTTTAAATAAGAAACTTTTGAAGTGGGCACAATGCAGTCAGGCAGATGATGTTCTCCAGGCATCCACCAAACCCTGACTTGCCCATCAGACTACCAAACAGAGAAGATCTAATTTTTCATTCCACAGAACAGGTTTCCACTGCTCCAGAGTCCAGTGGCGTCATGCTTTACACACTCCATCCGACGCTTGGTGTTGTACTTGGTGAAGTAAGGTTTGCATGCAGCTACTCGGCCATGGAAACCCTTTCCATCAAGCTCTCGCCATGAAGCTTTTGTACTGATATTAATGCCAGTGGAAGTTTGGAACTCTTCAGCTAATGAAATCAGTAGAGCATTGGCAATGCTCTAGTTTTACGCACCAGCACTTAATGACCCACCCTGTTCTCTAAATGCTTCCAATATACAGTAATCCCACTTACAGTTGATTGTGGAATATCTAGCAGCGATGAAATTTCAACAAACTGACTTGTGACATCCTATGAAAGATATATATCTATCATCTCTCTCTCGCTCTCTTTCTCTCTCTCTCTCTATATATATATATTCCTCATGATATGCATGTAAAGCCTATTTGTTTTATTGTGAAGTTATTTGATTAGCAGTGAAAATGTTTTGGAGTGATTTGTTATAAAGTACGGAGGGCAGGAAGAATAGAATCGAAGCGTTTGGCAAGAAGAAAACAATCAAGAAATGAGACGTGCGATATGAGACATTATGAATCTTTTTTTTTTTTAATAAAAGCTGTTTGGAGTCAAGCAGGGCAGTTGTGAAGGAGGACTCTTCTCTCTGAGCTTTCTCTTTTGAATGCTGATGCCTATCAGAATCATTCATCCATTTCCAATTCAAATTGGGCCTATCTCTCCCACATCAGGACCATTGATATTCCAATAATTTGTCTGGCACGGAGGGTCTGCTCTATTTTGCTTGTGTAGAAGGATGTGGGTTTGTGTGTGGGTTTACATCATTGTGTGTGCTGTAGATCTCATGTTATTGGTATTCAGGGCAGGAACAGAAAAATGCAGGGTCCACAGCTTCTTTCTTCATTCATATGTTCAGCCTGTCCCTGTTTTGTCTTCCTGTGGTTATTATGGAGTTTGTCTCATTCGTCTAGATTAAGTTAGGTGATATTGGCCACTCTGTAATGTTTGTCTTAATCTCTGGAGTGGTAAGAGATTTGTTCTACTCGAATTCTGCAATACCTTTCCATTGTATAACTACAGAAATCACTTTGTCAGTTAAAGGTGAATTTGTTACAAAGGCTCAAAAGAATGCTCTGTCTTGTAAATACAACTGAACTGTTGTACAACTTACTGTAAATGCAATTTAAAGAAATATTCCAGATTCAAATACCAAGTTAAGCTAAGCTAAATATTTATAGTCTTTTCAATGGTACACACTGAATAAAAGGTCCAAGATCACATCATTTTAACAACTCTAATTTTTGGAGGGTGTGAGTGTTTGTTTTTAAATTATAATTATTATTATTTTATTTTATTTAGTTTATTCCAGTTCATGGTTTTAGGCATTACACTGTCATGGCATGTAACTTCACACAGAAAACATTACTAAGCAAATTTTCACACTAAAATCATATTTGCATGCATATTGCTTATAACTTGTGGCTTTATTTTTGAAAGAGTGAAATATTTTTGTTTACTGGAACCCAAACTTGTGCAGTAATGTGTGTTTTTCTCGTTTGAAATGTTTTTTCCCTTGACAAGCTCTTCCTACAGATGTTCTAGTTTGTCCTCTTCGCGTCGTTGAAAGATTTCGAGATCTTCGTCCTGATGAGGTGGCAGATCTGTTCATGACCACACAGAGAATAGCTGATGTGATTGAGAAACACTTTCAGGCGTCCTCCCTAACCATTGCCATTCAGGTATACAAGTTTATACAGCTTATACAAGTCCATTGTGTTCAATTACGTATGGTGACAGAACAGTGCTTAAGAAGGGAACTTAATGAGGGAATTAATCTGACACACCTGCATCAATGAACAAACACCTGGGAACAATAGAACACAATCAGGGAACAGGAAGGAAACCAAAAATGGGCATAAACTGAACATGGAGCACGTGGGGGAGGAAAACACAAGACACAGGACTGACATGCTCACAGAATAGGGATCAGTGAACACTTGACCCTGTCAGTTGGAAAGTAGCTCATGGAGTGTGGTCCTAGAAAGTATTTGGACTTAAGTCAAACTTCAAAATGTTTGCATGCCATTTCATTAGATAATAAAATATCAAACAAATGTTTTTAGTTTTTTTTTTTCAGAGCAAACATCTGCTTTCTAAGCTATTATGTGTATGTATATATATTTATATATATAGTAACGGGGTGAAGAATCACACGACAAGAAATCTCAATCAATACCCCGGAGGGTGGATTTATTGGGGTGAGGGGTGCTCGTGAGAAAGGTCCAGGTAGGTGCTCTGGTGCCGTGAGTGCTCTCTTCCATCTTCCCAGTGCAGAGGGTCCGTGCAGTGCTCCTGTCTTGTAAATACAACTGAACTGTTGTACAACTTACTGTAAATGCAATTTAAAGAAATATTCCAGATTCAAATACCAAGTTAAGCTAAGCTAAATATTTATAGTCTTTTCAATGGTACACACTGAATAAAAGGTCCAAGATCACATCATTTTAACAACTCTAATTTTTGGAGGGTGTGAGTGTTTGTTTTTAAATTATAATTATTATTATTTTATTTTATTTAGTTTATTCCAGTTAATGGTTTTAGGCATTACACTGTCATGGCATGTAACTTCACACAGAAAATATTACTAAGCAAATTTTCACACTAAAATCATATTTGCATGCATATTGCTTATAACTTGTGGCTTTATTTTTGAAAGAGTGAAATATTTTTGTTTACTGGAACCCAAACTTGTGCAGTAATGTGTGTTTTTCTCGTTTGAAATGTTTTTTCCCTTGACAAGCTCTTCCTACAGATGTTCTAGTTTGTCCTCTTCGCGTCGTTGAAAGATTTCGAGATCTTCGTCCTGATGAGGTGGCAGATCTGTTCATGACCACACAGAGAATAGCTGATGTGATTGAGAAACACTTTCAGGCGTCCTCCCTAACCATTGCCATTCAGGTATACAAGTTTATACAGCTTATACAAGTCCATTGTGTTCAATTACGTATGGTGACAGAACAGTGCTTAAGAAGGGAACTTAATGAGGGAATTAATCTGACACACCTGCATCAATGAACAAACACCTGGGAACAATAGAACACAATCAGGGAACAGGAAGGAAACCAAAAATGGGCATAAACTGAACATGGAGCACGTGGGGGAGGAAAACACAAGACACAGGACACACACACACACACACACATACACACACATACATACATATATATATATATATATATATTAATGGTTTAGTTCCAAAACGCTATAAATCCATTTTGATTTATTTGAGTAAAAATGTGTTTTCTTTTCCAAGAAAGTGACTAGATGAAAACCACTATTTTCTGTTTCAAACTTTCACATAGCATCTTTAGGTTATAATAATATTAAAACTTCAAATCCAGATTTAGATTTTCAAAGATTTATTATAAAATGTTATTATTTTTTCCCCCCAAAATGCAATAAATCCATGACACTTTTTTTTCTTCAAAATGCAATAAATCCATTGAATCAATATAAAAGTTATTTTTCATATTGAAACTGTTGAAAATACACAACATAGTAAGTTGATCCACATATGACAGTCTCTGAACTTGGTCAATACTAATCTTATATACAGGCACTGGACTAAAAGTACATTCAATCAGTGATCGCTCCCAAAATTAATTAAATGGGTCATCTTGTTAATGCTATAAATTAATTACAACAATAAAATAAAATTTCATCATGAACAAGAACATGAACAACAATATCACATTAAACCACAGAAATTCCAAAATGACATTTCCCTTACATTTAACTTCCAAAAGTGCATTCATCTTTGCCATGTTACATTAATTTAATTGACTAGTGCCTTTAATGTTTTTGTTAATACAGCATAGGATAGCCTATGCTGTATTAACAAAAACATTAAAGGCATTAATAAAAACACTTACACTGACAAGCTACGCAATATCATGTTCATAATCGAATGTGACTCATTTGAGATTATGAACGTGATATAGCAGTGATCTATGGCTCTGTGTAATAAATGCCGCTCCATCTGAAAGCACGTGATGAAGATTTACTATTAATCACAGAACCGGCTTTACTGACGAGATGCGCATGACAATCACATGCGATTTATCGTGCAGCCCTAAGTTTGTTTGTTGATCACAAAGTACAAAATAGATGAGGAAAACTAGGAAGCCGGGTGTATTCAAAGCGCCGCCATTACTGTTTAGAGTGCGTGGAATGGTGCGCTGTGATTGGTTGAGAGGATATATCGCATTCTGCAGAAAAGGGAGACTGGCGTTTGTCGCGGTTTGGAAAAAAAGGGAGAAAACATGACAGAATAACTCGGCGGATATAGCATTTTGCGTAAAATTAAAAATGGACTTTTCAATACCGACCAGATATGATACTGATTTTGGCATAAACTCAATTTTTAAACAAATGGCGTTTATTGCGTTTTGGAACCAAACTCTTCATTATATAGCCTATACATAAAACTCTGAGAAAGACTAGGTCACCATACTTAATATGAGCCTTAAAGATGTATGAAATATGATACTCAACAAAAATACATTTGTAAACTGACTATGATTTCATATGTTAGGCTTTACACCCTAAAATAAATGGCTCTTGGTTTATAAATAAACTCATTCCTGCTCGGTATGTGACTTTGTAACAGACATATTTCGTATGCTAATTTCAAACGGTTACCTATTTCAAAACTCAAACCAACAAAAGAAAATGATTTAATTCATCAGACAAAAGAGAATAATCAATATCCTTTGCTGCAGGAGTTGATATGAGATTAGATTTACTTGCTTTCATGAAATAGTGAAAGGCTGTTCTACAGATAAAACTCTCTTTCTGAAAAGGTGATGTAGCTGAGGTGTTTGATTTTCATGTGGAAATGAAAATGAGAGAATACTAAATAAATATCTACACTTTTTATATTTTATTTTCACTTGTGTAAGACCTGGTAATCAGTGTTATTTTTTAACTTATCATGAACTATTACAATCATAAATCTCACCTTTTTTCAACTTTATTCACATCATTTGTATAGTTCTGAACAACCTTTAATCCTAACAATTAAACATATTTTTGAATTTAAAACATAATTTAAGTATCTCTTAGCTCAAAAGCATAAAAAAGATGGGTAAAAAAATGAAGCACTTTGACACACACATGGTCACGCAAAAGCGATTCATTTGAAATTAAAATGCTACTGAATTATTGACAGAGGTGTTCCTGAATTCCCAACTAATTATCTGCTTCTGTTCCCAATAGGACGGACCTGAGGCAGGACAGACGGTGAAGGTAGGGTCTTAATAAGCGCTCCCTCTAAATTTATCATGAGGCTTCTGTGACACTTATCTTGTATTAAATAATAATCGTATTTCATTTACAGTTCTAAACCCTTTGAGCATGTCAATTATGCATGCGTCTGGTTTAAAATGCTTTGTCCATATCTTGTGGGCATTCAGAAAGTTCTTCGGTGTCTGACTTTGCCTAAAGCTGTGCCCGCAGCCACTAGTGAAGTGTGGAGATCTCCTCTGGATTTCCTTCCTCCAGTGTGTGCTTTCGAATGAGCTTTCTTGATACCTGTGAGAAAGTGCAGCAGAGGTGCTTAATAAACTTTGCACAATTGTTGCAACTCTTAATTGAGGACCAGAGTTAACTTTGTATCCTTTATGTAGGTTTTGTTAATATTTTGAATCAGATTTATATTTATTTTAATGTTTTGTTTTAATTTTAGTTAAGGTTGTAGTCATTGTATTGTATATTTTGGTCAGTTTTATCATTTTTTTAAATGTATTTATTAAGTTTTAGTTATTTGAATACTTGAACTCAAACTAAACACACATGATAAACCTTAATAATACGTTTTTTTTTTTGTTAAATTTCACTTAATGTGTATTTTATTTAAAGTAGTTAAACAAATGTAGATTTGGTCCAATTGGTTCTAGATAACGATAAACCCTGTACGTATGCATTATTAAATATGAAATATTATCTATATATAATATAAATATCCAATCTACTTATTATCAATTTTATCTACAAATCCATGGTTTTTGAGATGGTTTTCAGAGCAAAAACATCTTATATTATGTCTTATATTACAAGTAACAGATTAATTCCAACCTCCAAATTGGTCTTTATGTTCAATATAACGTTACAGTGTTTTCAACTCATTTACTTCCATCTGACAGTGAAATATTCAACGATTAAAAAAAAATGTATGATGGGACATTTTTGTAGGGCTGAAAAAGAAAGTTGTTTCAGAGTCTGAACAAAATTTAACACGTTGATGACAAACAATATTACAAAGACTCTTTATTTTCACAATTAATAATGCAGACTGACTCATGCACAGTAACTCCAGGGATGTTTATTAAGAACAAAACAAATGACAACAACCTTTTGTCTGTCCTCACACAGCCCGAGCAACTGAGCTGGTGATTTTGAGTGATTTGTGTGGCCTTTCCACATTTGCTGTGCTACTTTGTGCGCATTATCTAATTGAATCCATCAGTTACACTGTCTTTCATGTGTGAAGTCATATTTAATTGCATGTGGTAAGGCGTATTAATTATGCATGTATAGCAGCTTCCGCGAGAGCAGTCTGGCTGTGGCCTGAGGTGTGGAGCTGTATTAAAATGGCAGTAGTGTTAATTATGTTAATTGCAGTGGGACTGGACTGAATTCCAATGTCTCCTGACAGAATTCCAATGTCTCTCGTTGGATTCTGGAACATGAGCAACCTATTCTCCTTTGAACAGTAGAGCAAGTTACTTTTAGTCATTTAGTTGGCTTAAAAATGACAGTCAAAGAAATAAATTCCCCTGATATAAACATCTTTCAATGTTATTTTATTTTTTTTATTTTTTTTATTTGTAAAGTCACTTTAATCACAGCCAAAAAAAATTGCTTTTCGTTTGAGTGTTATTATCGAGGTCTTTAAATAAGTAAGTGGCATGTTTTTCTCAGTCTAAGCGCCAGCTCTTCAGAAAATGAAAGAGCTGTTAGAATTTACCCTCCTTAACAAGCGCATTTAAGTCAATATCAGAGCATTTCACTGATAGGCGCTCATTTAAAAGCACAGGCTTGTATTTACACTGATATTCATCAGCATTTGTTATGTCTAGAGTTATTGATGAGAGCTCAGGTTTTGCGGATTATCATAGCATCTGTAATCAGCTTTCATTACAGACTCAAAGTTTACAGTTAAGCTTTTATTTATAGAAGGAAAGTTATAGCAACAGACCCCCGAACAGGCCCCTTCAGATGCCACACGGTGTGGATTTAATTTCAACTTTGGGGGGAACACTGTGGAGGGAAAATTACAGACAATTACAAATTTTTGTTTTTCTAAATTTTGTGGACAAAAAAGTCCATAGTCTATTAGGAGCTGTGTAGCAATGTCTGAAGCACTGCTCACACAGAAGTCATTATCAAACCAAGCAACTTTCTGTTGGTCAACGTGACAAATTCTCACGACCAACTGAACCCTATGTGAAATCTGTGTGGGAAAATATTTCGCACTCATGTGAAACTGTTGATCGTGTGGATTGCTAATATAATGGCTGAAGATTCGCCGAACAACGTTAAATGTGGCCACATATTTAAACCACATATGCAAGCAATTCACCACAATTTTCATCATCAGTTATAAATGTATTTATTATAAATGATTTCACTTTAGAAAAATAAACTTAAATGTGCAGTGTGTAATATTGACAGCTAGTGGTTGAAATTGGTACTGCAGTCCAAATTCAAAATATTGGAGAGAGTGGCTTCTTCCGCCCCTCCTCCTTACACTTGACGCATATGCGGGTTGCCAGATTGAGGACATGCAACAGGAATTAGCACAATTGACCCTTCGCAGGGAGCTTGATTAACAGGCGATCTGACCAGTCATAACTCCGAATCCACCAGAGTAGATTAACTTGAAAAATGGTGTGTATTTACATATTTCCACGGTTGAAATAAAATACCTTCTGATGTTCATTTATGTTTATTTCATGCTTTAAGTAAATATGAAAAGATGATCAGCGATCAGTTATGACACATTAAAGAGCCACAAAATGGTATTATTGTTTGAATTTCTTAAAAAAAAAAAAAAAAAAACCTTGAAGGCTGAGACTTTGTTTCATACCAGAAGTAACCTGCTTTGTCTTGTCTGTCGGTGTGTTGTCAGTGTCCTCTTTGCTCTGCAATGTATTTTTAACTACGTGAGAACATGATGTGTGGTCTGTGGTGTAAGAGCAGCATAGCTTGTCGGACATAGCAACAGTAACTGAGGGGGGCGGGTCTTTGGGAAGGCTCAATTACAATGGAAGGTGACCAGCCACACTGCAAGTTGATGAGTTGATTTATCTGTCATAGAGCTTTTAGATGGATACCGAGGCATTTTAGGTCAGGAAGAATCTGCAACCTCTGACCCAGTTCATTTGCTCGCTTCCATGGTTTCAATACGCTGTGTTTTCTGCCCACTGGCAACCCGGGGTGTCGAGATACTATTGGGTAAATTGGCAATGGGCAGAATCACATTGACCAAAAACAAAAACATTCATTTCTTAAAAAAAAAAAAAAAAAAAAAAAAAATTT